TCCACAAAGAACACAGCAATAATTGGGGACCCTTTTCATATAGGTCCAGCAACCTTTCCCCGCCTCATCAGTCTGATGGACGGTAATAACTCTTCAGTCCTATAGGGGCCGCTCCAGGCCTGCTAGACTGTCTATTAAGATCCACATCATATTTCAGTTTCCTCTGAACTCTTGCTTACTGTCTTGCTTGCTCCTATATCTCTTTTCTCTGAGTTTCTCAAGTTTCACCTGTTCCCAGGAAGAACTATCCTCCTTCTTTATACAGGGCAAACGGTTCTTCCCCACTGGAATCATAAACACTTGCACGACCGAGTTCAGATATGGGCATAGCATCTCTATGTGTTCTACAGGATTCACTCACTTTATAAGTCATCCAATTCTTAGCAATGCACCCAGATTTGAATGTCCTTAATTGATTTTCTAAGGTCAGGGCCACATAGGGCAAAGGAAGTTCTTTTATTCAAGCTTTCCAATTAACTTAAAAGTACTGACATTACCAATTGAGTCCTACTTAAGTTAACTATAAAATATCCTTTACTGCACAGCCTTGAATAAGACAAACCAAGGTCAGAGATCCCAGGAGGGATGGGCAGGTTTCCCTGGCTAGGGTTATACAACACAAGGCTTTGAAAGATATTGTTTAAATAATTCTTGCCTTCATCAGCCATATATCAGTAAAAAGTCACTTATATCTCTTTGAAAAACAACCTTGACCATGGTGATTTGCTGTGATTGTCCCCTCTCACCCCACCCTGTAGCCTGCCTTGGCTTTCTGCATTGCATAAGTGAGAGATGATTTTACCACATCAGCAAAACACCACTTTCAGTTGAGAAGTGCCTTGAGGTTTGCAAGATTCCTAAATAGAAACTGGCCAAGTGCACAGATGTGACACTGTAGAAAACATGCATTCTGTGTGAGAAAGAGCCTGTCCTTGACACACTAAGGCCATTTCCAAGGTCATTTCTAGATATCTCTAGATCAGCACTATCTGGCCGAGTCTTCTCCAACAGTGGGGAGTGGTCATGCCTACTACCCAGCACAGTAGCCGCTAGCCACACATGGCAATGGGGCACTGGAAATACGACTGGCAATGTGGCCAGTGCAACTGATAAAATGTATATTTTATTTAGCTAAAAAAATTCTTTTTAATTTAAACTTTTGTTCTTGAAGAGGCACTGATAGAAACAAGAGGGGAGCCATAGACTGGAAGAAAATATTTGCAAAGCAAATGTCTGACAAAGTACTTCTTTCTGTGCCATGTATTCATGCTGAGAAGATTCATTTTGTATGTTGTGGAGACGTACACTAATTAAATGTAAAATAATAATAATAATAAACTAAAATAATTTAAATTTAAATGACCCAAGTGGTCATGGTATTAGACACAATAGTTCCAGCTAGTTCTATTCAAATAATATATCTGCTTCTGTGAAATAAAAACTGACTAGAGGATCATTTTAAGAAACCTTACCCAGGGGAACCAAAATGTAGCACAGTAGTTAAGGCGCTGGTGTCCCACATTGCTGGCAACACTTCAAGTCAAGATCCAGTGGCTTGAAAGTCAAGCCAGGTACATGTGCATGTTCAAAATTCTGAGAGGAGAATGGAGGAGAAGAGATTACAGCATAACTATCCTGCCTGGAAAGTGATTTCTCACTTTCCCTTTCTCTATCTCTCTCTGTCTGTCTGTCTCTCTCTCTCTGGCAAGCACACTCTCCCTATGGCAAAAACCTACAGTAAGAAGAACTTGTTCATTAGTAACACCCCAAAAAGTCCCACAGTGATAAATATATATATATATACATATATAGAGAGAGAGAGAGAGAGAGAGAGAGAGAGAGAGAGAAAGGGAGACTTGACAAGTACATACATTTCTATGAAAATCATTTAGCATTTTCTCCAAAGTTCAAAATTTAGTTTTGATACATGTATGTAAAATATGTATAATTATTGTCAATTTAATATCATCATAATCAAAAAGTAAAGTTCAATTATATTCTTTTTAAATATATTTTATTTTCTTTTATACATTCAATCACTATACAATTCTCTTAGCCTGTAAAGTGAATTTTTGACATGAATATACTTCACATCAGTCCAGTTGGGGATACTATATATGTTATCATCACACATAATAATCCATTTCTGTGTCCCATAAATGTCTCACCTACCTATTTTTCTCCTTAATGTCTTTCCTCAGACTCTTCTCCCACTCGCTTCCCACACTGTCTCCAGTATCTGTAACCATTTTCCATGTTTATATATTCTCTAATCTTTCCATTTCAACCATAGAGTGCCGATAGTCAGTATATATTAAGTGGAGACACACAATGTCTCTCCTTCATAGCCTGTCTTGCTTCACTCCACAGTAAATCTATATTTGTCCACTTTCTATCAAAAGCCAGCGTCTTATTGTTTGTTATGGCTGAGTAGTATTCCATAAAGTATATGTGCCACACTTTTCCAATGCATTCTTTTGTTCATGGACGTTTGGTTTGGTTCTATGTCTTAGCAATTGTGAATGTTTAATGCTGCAATAAACATAGATGTGCAAGCGCTGTTCCAATTAAGCATTCTCCTGTCCTTTGAGTAGATATCCAGAAGTGGGATTGCTGGATCATATTGTAGCTCTATTTGTAGATCTTTAAGGAACCTCCATATTGTTCTCCACAGATCAATTTATATTCCCACCAAAAGTGTAGGAGAGTTCCCCTTTCACTACAGCCCCACCAATTATATTCTATATGCAATACCCATGACTCTGAAATAACCATGAAAATATGACCCTTACAGCAGGCCAATGATGAATATTTATTACATTCAATATTCTTAGTATTGACCTGTCTGATGTCAACATTTACTGAAACACTTGCTATATATTAGGCGCTGTAAGGGTTACAAAGGGCATAAATGACATGACATTTGCCTTGTCTGGCAAGAGATCTAGATTTCATGAAATTTTCAGGAAAATAAACCATGAAGTAAAGGACGCAGGATTCACTCATTAGCTCTATCTGATGGGGTCTCATGAGCATTCTTGTCTTCCTTGTATCCTGCACCATTCAAAAATGATGGTAGGAGGCTAGCAGGAAGTGTAGTATTTAAGGTGCTGGGCTCCCACATGGCCAACCATAGTGCAAGTCCTGACTCAACAGCTTGAAAATCACACTGAGCATGTGCATGCCCAAAATCCTGGCAGGAGAATGGAGGAGAAGGTATTGCAACAAGACCATCCCCATGAGGGTGACATTTCACTTTCCCTCAGTATGTCCCTCTCTCTCTCTCTCGCAAGTGCACAAACTCTATGGCAAAAATCTTTTAAAGAAACAAAGATGGTGTTGGGAAACAGAACCACACCCCCAGGGAGTGAAGAAATTAGTACAACAACAAAGAGCCGTTCAATTGGCAATTTTTTTCACAGAAAAGACTCTTAGGAAAGATGAAAGCAATATTCAGGAATTTTTAATATTTTATTTCAGTTGTACTCACAAGAAAATAAAAACAGTCTTAGAAGAGATGACAATAGTTTTCATGATTTTCTTGAACAGTCATGAAAAAAAATAACCAGACAACCAGTAAGGCATGAACACCACTTGATTGGAACAAATGTTGTGTGAGTACCAATCATGTAGAATGGATACTGTGTGGTATGGTCATCAGCCAATCAAACTAGATACCCTCCACAGCCCCATATTTTGCCAGGAAATACCCTTTGAGATCATTGTTGGTTCATAGGAGATAGTCTAGGGTAGGGACTGAACGTGATTTGAGATCAAAAAGTATCTTATAAATCATGGTGGTATCAGGCTTGTCTACCTTTTATCGGATTATTAAGTGAGAACGTTGAACAATGAGAAACATCATAGAGCTGGCCTTATGGCCTGGACATTAAGGGAGCAGGGTCCTACATGGCCAACCACACAGTTCAAATCCTGAACCCAGAAGCTTATAAAACACACCGGGTATGTGTGAATGTGCCCAAAATTCTGACAGGATGGAGAAGGGATTGTGGTGTAACTGTGACACATGAGGAGGCAGCTTCTCCCTCCCCACCTCGGTCCCTTTCTCTATCTTTCTGTCTCTCTGGTAGGTACACACACCCTCTGGAAAATTTCAAAAAAAAAAAAAAGAAAGAAAAGAAAAACATTATCAACATCATCATTACAAACTTGCATCTTGTATTTAGTAACTTTAAAGAATTCACTAAAATCCTGACACATTTTGAAGGTCAAAAATCTACTATAGCAATAACATGTTTGTGCATGAGGGAATCAGAGCTGTTGTGGATCACCAACCAGCACAGAGAGCTTCAGTAACCATTGCTGAGCCCAGTCACAGAACAGTCCTGTCTCAACTTGAGCTCTGAAGGGGTGATATGGTTGTGAAGGTCACTGAGTACATGTACATGAAAAACAAAATCATCTAGAAAAAGGCAGCAATTTCATTCTTTCTTTTTTAAGAGAGATTTTTGCTATAGGGTGGTGCGCTCACCAAAAAGACAGAGCTACGGAAAACAAGAAATCAATCCTTCTACCCCCAGGGGGATGGCCATACTGCAATCCCTTCTCCATTCTCCTCTCGGGATTTTGGGCACACACACACACACACACACACACACCTGACATGAGTTTTAAGCTGCCAGGTTCAGGACTCAAACCACGGTCAACTACATGGGAGTACAATGACATAACCATTACACCATCTGCTGGTCCCCAGTCATTTCATTCTTAATGACAGCATCTATGTTAACTTTAAGTAAGATAGATGTGCAGGAACAAAAGACAAAAATGACATTAACATGGATTTTTATAGAAGTCCTGCTTTCCTTCCTGGAAAATGCTTTATTCCTAAACATTATGATTCTATAAGCTACAACCAGAGCGGTAAATAGTTAAGAAAGTTAGTTAAAAATTTATAACTTTTTTTTATAAAAAGATAAATAAATGAATAAATGGAAAAATAAAGGAATAAAATATTTTTAATTAAGAGAAAGAAAATACAGGTTTGTTAACATTTTATTTTATATTTATTAAAGAACACAATGACCATTTCCAGTTTTTTCCTGATGTTGTAGTATGTGAGTAGGTCCCTGCAAAGCATAATCCACATCTAATTCCCTTGAGGAGATTAGAACAAGCCTGACTAAGTAGCAAATACAAACAAGTGTCTTCATGCATACAATCACTAGAATTTTATTGTCTTTTAAACTTTTAAACTCTGACTTGCCAATCAATTGCAGACTTTGGACTGGTTCTTATTTTTATTCTCTTTTTCACTGATAACATGAAATAATGCTCCCCCCTATTAAACATACATAAATGTCATTTAAATACAATTTAAGATAAAAATATTTTAAACGTCATGGTAGAATAGACTTATCTACCATTTGTTAGATTAGCAAACAGGAGTGTGCAATGATGAGAAACCTTATTATGATGAATTTACAGCTTTTTCTTAGTCACTTTATGGGATTCACTAAAACTTGAATCATTCTAAAGGTCAGATTGTACTTGAGAATGTGGGAGAATTGATTCCTCCCCTCACTATAAATTATCAGTGCCAAGGACTCCAACATCCCTTCTTCAGGTCACGGCGACAATGCAGGAGCCTAGTCTTAGGACAGAGAGGAACGATGGCATCGTCATGTTGTCAATTGTCGGCCAAGTGCAAAGTACAGCCCAGAGGAAGTTTTCACTATACTAAAGTTACGTTTCTGATCTTCATGGGACTGGCCATGGGAAATGAAACCCGGGGCTGCTTTGCTGGGCCTTGCCGCTGTTGAGCAGATTCCTGTTAACAAAGGGGAAAGGGTCCATTTAATCAGCTGAGATCACTGAGAAATGCACACTCAAGAAGAAAACTCCACTTATCAAACAAGATCAAATTAGGATGCATAGAAAAACAAAAATGTTAACACATACCCTTCTTTTCTTTCATTATTTCCAATAATATACACTCAAGAAAGTTTTCTAAGTTCAGGGCCCAAAGGGCAATCCATATCAAAGAATCCAATATTTGTTTTTATGAAAGAAAATTACTGCAGATTCACTATTTTGATTTGTTTATCTCTTTTCCTAGGAAGTTCTTGCTCTGCCTGGTAGCTTTTTGAAATCAAAATATATTTCTGAACTTCTTTAAATGACACATTCTTTCTAATACAAGGACAATACTGAAGAACTGATTCCAATTAAATCACCCTTCTACCTGCTTGGGCAGTGAAGGATGCTGGCTCCTGTCAGGAAGGAAGAGGTCCTTGTCCTTCTCCTTCAGAAATGTAATCCCAAATAAACCATTGAATCCTTCGGAGGTATCAGTCTGGCTAATAGAATCACCCTATTAAAAATGTGTGCAATGTGTTTTTTCTGCCAGTCTTGAGCATGCCAGCTCAGGTTCTGGGGCATATTAGCTGCATTTAACATCTTAAATAATGTAACTGGACACAATAAATTATTCACATTGTGATGGAAATGTTAGTAAGTCTTGAAAATAGAATTCTGGCTTGTAGTTTCAATTTATTGACTCCCGATACACAAAGAAAATTCGAGAGCTGCTTGAACTATTTCAGCCATGTGCTATAAGGATTGTGCTTTCTAGGCCAGCTGAGGGTGTAGTGGTTAAAGCAACTGGATTCCACAGGATGGACCATGCAGTTCGAGTCCTGGGCCGGGCACTTTGGAAACCATGCTGGGCACATGCGTGTGCATGCCTGTGTGTGTGTCCAAAATTCTGAAAGGAGGAAAGGAGAAGAGATTGCAGTGTGACCATCCCCCCAAGTGTTGCTTTTTCACTTTCTTTTTCTTTCTCTCTCTTGTAAGTGCACTGGCCTTCCAGCAAATTAAAAAACAAATTTTTTTTTAAAAAAAAGAATTTTGCTTTGTGCTGTGAGTATGATTGAGATTTTGTTGGATGTTTGCTGTTGTCCTCACTATCATGTTGCATGATCTTGCTATTTTCTAAATTTATCAAGAGCTTATTCTGTTGATCTTAATATGAGGAGTGAATGACAGGGAAAGCTTAATCCAGGTTTCAAATTGTTCATACATTCATCCTCTAAAACTGACAGAGATAGAATTGCCTAAAACAACCAAAAACAATGGACTGACAGTGACATGAGGCATAGAAAATGGAGAGGAAAATGAGGATTGTTTGTTGTAGATATTCATCGAGATGTAAAACATTTGTAAACCCAGTAGCTTCATAGAAAAATAAAAGGAGCTTGCATTTCCCCATAAGCAATTATAGTTCTTAGTAAAAATTTCACATTTTATTTATCAGGTTTATCCTAATGTGTTTCAACTACAGTTACACCAACAGAAATTCCTGTCTAGAATATAGTGTTAGTATTACATATTCTAATTGTAAATTCAATTAGAATAGAAATAATCAATAAAGAATAATGTGATGTTTTGGTATGTCAGTTTTGAACATCTCTTTTCTCCTGGTCCTTCCCATGATTTAATGCATGATCTGAGTCTCTACAGTGCAAAATCCTATTATATCTTTCATCCATTTTGCATGCAGTGTGTTTTAGGGTCCACCTACCACACAGGTCTATCAAAGTGGATCCCCACTATGGTGCTGCATGGATGATGGAGTACTTTAGTACTGAGACCTTTCATTCGACATTGATCACAGCACCACTGTAAGCATCTCAAAATCTCCATGTCTTGCAGCAAGCTCAGTGCTGCAAGGACATGAGGTACAAACAACTCTAAACGCACAGTGGTATACAAACTCCCGGAAACCAGCTAACCCTTGCTTAGAAACAATGCTATACTTGTCTTTTTTGTTTTCATAGCAGGCTATAAAAATATCTTCCTCAAAGCAGATGACCTGGGAATCATGGTAAAAAGTACTAATTCTTAGGCCTTTTTCTCCAGAGACCCTGATCCAAAGATCCTGATCCAGAGATCCTCCACTTCAACAACCATTCTTTTGGAAAACAAGGTTCCAGGGTTCAGGAAACATACTTCTGTTTCTGCCAGGTAATGGCAGGAATAAGGACTTCCCATTCCATTTTTTTTTTCCATTCAGCAAAGACCCCAAAAGGGGAGAGAGTTGAGAGGTAGAGATGAGCAAGTGTCATGGTTTGGGTAACGACTTGTCCTCCAAAGTTTCATGTTTTGGAATCTGATGTTAGGACGTGGTGAGATCTTGTGGGCCATGACTGGATCATAGTGATTGCTTCATGGAAGCAACACTCTAATGAACTAACTATGATTAACTATATCTCATAAGACCCAATAAGTTCTACTCTCACGAGAAGGAATTCGTTCTCGGGAAAGCTGGTTGTTTTACTAGAGCTTCCCGCAGCTTGCCTTTTTTTTTTTTTTTTCTCTCTCTCTCTCTGCAAGCACCCGCCATCTTCTGTGCTTCTATCAGCCATGCTGTAGACCAGCCTGATGCTAGGCCTATCTATGCCTTTGGATACTCTAGCCACCAGAGTGAGTTAATACGCCTCTATTTCTTTATAAATCACCCAGTCTCAAGTATCTCTGTTAGCAATGCAAGAATAAATCAAAACAGCTGGGCCAGCACTCCATGCAGCTTGGCGCTCAGGGCCCTAGAAACTGGTGATTCCTCTCATTGTACATAACCAAGCCCCATCTATAGACCTGACCTATGACAGCCACCATCTCTCATGGCTTCTGACCATGGTGGTTGGCCTGCTTTGGTGAAAACTCCAGCCCATGGCCTGTCCCCTATGACACTGGCTCTGAGACAAGTCCTCACTCTTCTGAAATTTTCTAAGGACTTCTAGTGCTGAAAGTATCAAGAGATAACTAAGGATTTCAAAAGAGTCTCCTCATTACATCTTGTCTTGCCCTTCTCCATGTGGTATGGGCCTCTAGCGCCCCAGACTTTAACCAAAAGGACAGTGAGGAGGCAAGAGCTAAAGTGAGCTGGCACAGAGGCAAATGGGGTTTTCTACCCTTCTTATAGTACTAAAATTCTAAGGCCAGCAGGTGACCCAAAGATTAAGACAGCTGGCATCCACATGGCCAACCATGCAGTTCAAGTCCCAGACCTGGCAGCTTGAAAAGCACATCAGGCACATGTTTGTGCATGCCCAAAATCCCAAGAGGAGAATAGAGACTAAAGGACTGCTGTGTATTGATCTCCTCTCCGGGGTGGAGGGGTGTGATTTCTCTCTCTCTCTCTTTCTCTGTTTATCCAATGAATGCATGCACCTTATAACAAAAGCTAAAGAAAAATAAAATAAAATGTAGTTTCTCATTTTAGTAACTGTTGGATATAATCCAAATTGTGCTGGGTAATTCATAATGAAGGTGCAGCATGTATAGGCTCTCTGAAGCCCCAAGATGCAGACACAGTGTGCAGAACTCAGGGTGGGACAAGAGGTCGTACATGGAAGGTGAGGGCACAAGTGACCTAGCTATGCTCCTTTCTCCTCCTAGTGCCATACGTGGCCCTGAGCTGGATGTTGATCTTTTTATATTTGTAGGAAAATCCATGCAATTCCAGGAAGAAGGGACAAGAATAGGGACACTTTCATTCCAACCCCTTCTCAGTATAGTTAAGCATGAATGCCTTGGGACACTAAGCTTGACCTTAAACATAATGTCACTTTTAGGTTGTATTTTCTTCCAAGGTTGTCTAGTAATATTTCTTGTCATAAGCAGATTAAGATGAGCAGAACAAGAACAATGCCTATATGGGCATGCATGTTCCTCATAGCACCTTTCTCCTGACGGCATCACCCTGGACATTGAAGATATTCTCCACTTGAATGACTGACTACTTAGTGGGCACCTAGGAACACTGCTGGACTGTGTGTAGTCAGTAGTCATTCACTAGCTAAGACCTTCTGAAAATGCTGAAGTAGACAGACCACCAGGTTATGCAGATGAGAAGACCAGCATGAAGAGGGTATGTGCATGGCTTGACCATCTGCTGTACTGTTTACTCAACCACATAGTCCTACTCCAAGACCTTCTAATACAAAGCAAAAGCTTTAGTTGCTATCATACATGCTGTGTCTCCATGGGTAGGCTGTTTATCTGACCCAAAAAACTCCACAGCAACCAACATTGGGCAGTGTTTGTTGCAAGCTGATTCAAAGCTTCAGAACTTCCATTTAATTTGAAGACTTTTCAGCACCTGAGCCTGTTAAGGCTTTTCTGCAAAAGAGCTCAGTCCATAGTCAATAACCCTGAACTCTAACAAGCCAGCTTCTCAGACAGAGCTCCACTGGGCACCATCTCTGCCCCAGAAACACCCTGCAATATGGGCAGCTGAAATAACAAACTGGAGTCACACCAAGGCATGTGGAGAGAAGAAAAGACTCATCTGCCTTTCCTGGGCCCATTAAGGAACAAGGCTCACTCACTACAGACGGAAGAAAGATTGTGAAAAGGAAGACCGTGATTGCATTGTCCTGGCAACTTGGACATCAGAGACCAAGTGGGGCTACAGGTCCTGGCCTTCAAGAAGCTCTTAAAAAGGAAGATCTGTGCCAAGGTCACCTTGGCCTGTACTACCTGGTTGCTCTCCACTGTCCTGTTAACCACATAGACTTTGTTCTCTTTGGACCAGAGGCAGGGAAGAGAACTACTGTGTTTCAGGCCCAACTTTCTCATTCCCTTCTCTGATTCTCCAAGAGTTTCATGGGAAGCACTGCCCATGACACACCCGGTGTCCAGGTCTTCTAAAATGGGCTGCCTAGAGGTAGTGTCCGGCCCATGTCTGCAAAGACACCCTTCGGTTATAACCAAAGGATTGTGCTTGATCTAAAGGTCCTCTACTGTAAGTAGTAAAATCCAGGCATTTAAGAAAACCTCTTGCCCATATCTAGCCTGGACAGAAACAACTGATCTTCCTGGAACCCTGGTTTGCCTCTTATGGGTCTGATGCTCTCTGCTGAGGCTCACAGCTCTCCTGGAAACCTTACAAATACTTCAAGAAACACAAGGTTACGTTACCAGCACCCAGGGCTAAGCACCTCGCTAGCTACTGCCCTTTTTCCACCAATAGATTATTTAGCTGTTTACATGATTCAGTAACAGAAACCCTTTAAAATTTTACTCCCTCTGTATTTCCAAAGCCCTACAAGCTTTAGAAGTATCACTCCAAGTTCCAAAATGTCATTCTCTATTCTTGTATCCAAATGCATCTAGAGTTTCCCCTTTTCCTCATTATACTGGATGCTTTTCATGGGGAATTATCTGACCTGATCCTCTTCTGAATCTCCTCCCAGCCTTGGCCTCTCCCACCGCTACATACCTGAATACTTTGGCTTTTCAAATGGAAAGACAATTGGCAAAAGGTAACCACTGAAAAGTTATGTAAATAACGGTTGGCTTAAATATATTCTTGAGGTGTCCATGCTTAACACTGGGTGGGAAAGAGCCCCTCTTCACCAGCCTGTGACCCTTCTACCCGGGTTCTTCCATGCAACTCCCTTCATGGCCTGATGATTCTTTCCTTTTACACACCACCGTTTTAGTCAGAGACTGGTCTTTCTAAAGGAAACTTGTTAAATTTCTAAAGTTAACCCTATCAACTTCAGATTAAACACAACAAAAGATACATGTGGCAAAGAAAGCAGATGCCATGGAAAGAAATCTACCTCTCCATTTTCTTGACACCCTGCCTGAGGAACGTAGCCTGAAATTGTATTGAGAGTTAATGATTTATCACTGAGGCTCAGCTTCTTTTGTACCACAGACCCCTCATATGTCTTCCTGCCTGGCTACCTGGATTGCCACTAATAATGTCACATAGGTCCTCCCGCTACATGACAGAGCATCAATCAAAGCTCCCCTTCCTCCCTTAAAAGCCTGAAAGGCACACACCACTGGCAAGATGCATCTGCTGAGCTGAATCCCAATTGCAGGGAGGAATATTATAGCCTGCAGCTACCTGAAAACTCATGTAAATACAATCCAAGAAAGAATAACCAGAGCTGTGAAGGCATAAGCTAGGCACTGTCACCTCAAGGTAACTGAAACGCTCATGCAGAACAAAGTCAAGACTATCTGATTCTGTCTGCTGTTAGAAATCCAATCTGTGATGTTAGCATTTCCAAAAGAACAAAGAGGAGAATATCCACATCTACTGGGAAAATCCTCTCAGAACTGCATCAAAAAATTTCACATTTGAAGTTGCATTTGTACAGGCCAGCAAAGGGTGCAGATTATATATATTACATATATTATATATTGTTTAATATAACTTTGGATATAAAATATCTTGTTTTCTGCATATGAATTCTAATTCATTCATGTATGACAATCAACAGAATATGGACATATGATGTCCTCAGTTGACTGTTTTCTTCTGTGAGAGTACAGCTCCCATCACATTGCTTACCAGTCAACAATATCTACAGCTCATGCCTGTCCTTGGAACTACAGACTCAAGAACACAACTGCACACTCTGCTTCTCCATATGTATGTCAAACAGATACCTCAAAATCTACAAGCCCCAAATTAGATGTTTGATCTTTCCCCAAAAACCCTGCTCTAACCACAACAATCCAGCCTTCTAGTGGTCCTGGCATTACTTTTTTTTTTTTTTTTTTTTTGGAAAGGGTTTTTCTCTTTGGGGGGTGTG